TAGGCAAAATTTGCTGAACCTCTATAAACACTTGTGTCATTTGTGCTTGGTTATTTTCTGTGTGTGTGTGTAAGACTCATCCATCATTGAGTCTTGTCTAAAGTCCATCAACAACAAGGTCTAAAGGGGGAGTGAATTGATCCGAATTCACAATAGTCCTCTAATCACAAAAAAATCAGCCAGTGATTGCATGTACTCTTTATCCATCTGAGCTTTGGACTTCCTCACCAACTCCACACCATATCCCAGTGGACTTGCACACAGAAGTTCCACCGTTGAAACGACAGTTGGGATAGCAAACGCATTGCCGTAGAATCCCGAGGGAAGGCAAAGATCATTGAAGCGCTTCCCGCGAGCGTTGACAGCGCAGGAAATGCGAACAGTGTCTTTTGGATTCAGTCTCAGTGAAAGCGTCCGGCATTTCCAAATGCAGGCTGTTATGAGCTCAAATGAGGAGCAAGTGGAAAGGTGTGTTAACCAAGAAGAAGGGGATGAGATTTAGGGATTTCAAGAGAATAAGGAAGAGGGAATGTAACAGAGAATATATCCTGGTAATTATGTATTTCAGATTATGATATCATCGAATGGTAAACACACACTTTAATACAATGCTTTTCTCCTAATATCACTCTAACAGACTTAACAAATACAGCTACTCTCACTAACAGATTTAACAGAGAGCACGTGAGTTGCACATCATGAACTAACAGACTCATGGTTAACATTTTCCCTACCTAGCTGAGCTCCTCAGTCTCAGATGAAGATAGTGTTGTAAGAAAATGGGACTGTGTAACCCCTTTGTAAATACATCTGCTATCTGTTCTTCAGTAGGTATATACTGCACAATAAGATCCTTTCTTTGTACCTTCTCTCTCACAAAGTGAAAGTCAATATCCAAATGCTTAATATGAGAATGGTATACTGGGTTTGAACTTAAAGCCAGAGCTGATAAGTTGTCACAGTACATAATAGGAGCATCAGGCAGAAACATCTTCAAATCCAAGAGAACTTGTCGAATCCATGCCAAGTCAGCAGCTGTGTTTGCTAGGGCCCTGTATTCTGCCTCTGTTGAACTCTTAGATACAGAACCTTGCTTCTTGGACTGCCAGGAGATGGGATTACTACCCAAGAATACTACACATCCGGTTGTAGACCTTCTAGTGTTAATATCCCCTGCCCAGTCTGCATCACTGTATGCATTAAGCTGCCAAGGACCTTTTGTAAAACTGATTCCATACTCCAATGTACCCTGTACATATATGAGAATACGCTTCACCAAAAAATAGTGAACCTCAGTAGGATTATTCATATATTGACACACATGATTCACAGCATAGGCTAGATCAGGTCTTGTAAATGTTAGATACTGTAGAGCACCTACTAAACTGCGAAACATAGTAGGATCTGCCAAGGGCTCACCATCAGTCTGTAACATTTGAGTGTGTGGCTTACAAGGTGTTGCACAGGCCCTACATGAACTCATGCCGGCTTTATGTAGTAGATCTTTGGCATACTTCGTTTGACTCACGAATATGTCACCAGAGGAACTATAGGAAATCTACAGACCCAAGAAAAAGGTGAGTTGCCCCATATCTTTCATTTCAAACACCTCACTTAAGTCTGTAACCACTTTTTGAATCAACTGATCACTAGAACCTGTTATAATGATGTCATCAACATACAGTAGTAAAATGATAATGTCATTCCCAGTATGCTGCACAAACAGACTTGGATCAGAATGTGAAGATTTAAAACCAAGAGCAGGTAGGTAACCTGTGAATTTGGCATTCCAAGCCCTTGGAGCCTGTTTAAGACCGTACAAAGATTTTTTCAGTTTGCAAACAAACTTTGGATGAGAAGAATCTTCAAATCCAGGAGGTTGTTTCATAAAAACCTCTTCTTCAAGATCGCCATGTAGAAAGGCGTTCTTGACATCAAGTTGTCGTAGTTTCCACTGGTTCATAGCAGCTATGCTTAACACTAACCTCACAGTTGTATGTCTAACAACTGGACTAAAGGTTTCCCCAAAATCAAAACCAGGCTCTTGGCTGAACCCCTGAGCAACAAGTATAGTTTCCACTTGTTCATAGCAGCTATGCTTAACACTAACCTCACAGTTGTATGTCTAACAACTGGACTAAAGGTTTCCCCAAAATCAAAACCAGGCTCTTGGCTAAACCCCTGAGCAACAAGTCTAGCCTTATACCTCCCTACTGTACCATCTGGATTTCTCTTTATTTTGTAGACCCACTTACTTCCAATAATATTTTTATCACCTGAGCTCTTGGCTAAACCCCTGAGCAACAAGTCTGGCCTTATACCTCCCTACTGTACCATCTGGATTTCTCTTTATTTTGTAGACCCACTTACTTCCAATAATATTTTTATCACCTGGATTAGGAACTAAGAGCCATGTGCCTTGCATATGAAGAGAATCAATCTCCTCTTTCATTGCTTGTCTCCAGCCAGAAGAAAAAGAAGCCACCTTAAAACTAGAAGGCTCATCTAATTCAGGAATAGCATGAAGACAAGTAAAATAACCTTGATAATCAGGAAACTGTTTGGTCTGAACTATACCATCTTTAGCCCGAGTAATCATTGGATGATTATTGATAGGCACTAACGAAACTAATGAGTCCTGAGTACTGGCAGACGAGGAAGAAGCATCTGAGACCTCAAAAGGAAACATAACCTGTAACTGTTGGTCATTCAACATAGCTACAGAACTTACAGAAGCTGCTGGAGTGTCATTCAATGAAGCTTGATGTTGGATGTGAGATAAAGACCCATGAGTAGATGAGATGGCCTGAGACTGAGAAGTAGATACTTGTGTATCAGAGGCGAGAGATGATGGAGGAACTTGAATAGGCGTTGAAGGCAAAGAAACAATGATAGGAGCCACTGGTAAGGCTGCTGCAGTTAACAATGTAATGGTCGTTTCAATAATATGCCTATTCTTCCGCTCTACTAGTCCATTCTACTGCGGAGTATATGGGCAAGACAAACGACGCACAATTCCTTTGGAAGCCAAGAAATCTGTAAAACCCTTGCTAATAAACTCACCACCTCCATCACTCTGAAAACACTTAATGGCAGCACTAAATTGATTTTGTATCAAAGCATGAAACTGTAGGAACTTCGAGAAAACTTCTGATTTATTAAAAAGTGGATAAACCCACAAATATCCAGTACATTCATCAAGGAAGGAAACAAAATATCTGTAACCCTCAACAGATTTGTAATGGGAAGGTCCCCCCATACATCACTATGAATTGTATGAAAAGGAATTTCAGACCTATTATGTCTAATGGGAAATGGAAGCCGATGCATCTTCCCTTGAAGACAAGCTGAACATAAGGGATTTGAATTGGAGGAATCACTCCCACACTGCAAACCAGAAGCTTTAAGCATTGATTGCACCACTTCATTTGTTGGATGGCCAAGTCTGTGATGCCAAATGGAAGTCTTAACATGTTGACCAATCAAAGCCACTTTCTTGGACAGACAGTGAGAGGGTACATCACAGGGAATAGGATACAATCCGTTGTTACTCCGACCTTTTAGAAGGATTGTCTTGGTGACTCGATCTTGTATCACAAAACCAGAAGCATCAAAGCTGATAACACAATTATTATCTTTGCACAGCTGATGCACAGACAAGAGGTTAGCAGATAACTGTGGAACATGAAATACAGATGGCATTTTAAGAGAAGTAGAAGCACAGGCAATGGCAGTAGTGCCAATATGTTTAATTTTCAAACCTTCTCCATTACCAACAATCACTTGCTCTGTAGATTCACAAGGAGCAACATGATTTAATGAGGAAATATCAGACACCATGTGATGTGAAGCCCCACTATCAGCAATCCAGACCTGATCAGGCACATAGGAAGTTTGTGCAGTCATAGCAGAAAGGTTGGAAGGAGGAGCTTGACCTTGATAGACATAGTTGGATCTATGGAAACAATCCAAGGGTCCATGACCCCTCTTACCACAGATTTGGCATTCAATAACCTGAGATCCATGCCTAGAAGAGCTTGCCTCATGGCGAAAATAACAATTAGCAGCCGTGTGACCCCATTTGCTGCATATCTGACATTCTGGAACAACTGCAGATTTCTGTGAAGAATTGAAACCAAATTGATTTCCTGAGAAAGATGAGCTGGAGCCTCTGCCTTGAAATCTGCCTCTTCCAGAACCAACATGATTAGGAAAACCTAAAAAACCTCCACGTTGACTATTGCCAATAAAACCACCATTGTTACCAAAAACGGGTCTTGAACCAGAATTGCTATCCAACGAAGACAAAGCAGAACGATCATAGGACCCCATATAAGCAACTGGTAAAGAAGATGGAGTAGGCAGTAAACCCATAAATTAGAATGGCCCATAGCATTCATGGAGGCATATGACGAAGAAGACGGAGTAACAAACATGGCTGAGTGAGGAACCAATCGAGCCTCTGCG